TTTTTCGTAGTACTTTTAAAATAAATATGCATAGAGTCCGTCTCAAGAGGGCGGGGGTGGTTAATTTTGGAATTCTGTGTTGAAATAGTGGTTGCCTTAAAGGGAGCTGCTATTTTTGAGATGTTAAGGAATATCGTCTCATCAGAAAGTCATATCTGAAAGTATTCACGTGCATTAATTGACGGTTTGTTGAAAAACTTCTGTAGGTTTTTCGTTTGCTTGTTCAAAAGCTCTCTGCCAGTGAGGAATGTATTTTCCAAATTAACATTCTATTTAAAAAATACAGAAACAAAATCTGACTACATTAAATATTTAAAATGGCAGTACTTAGGACGTACGATAACATCATGCATTTCCTTGCAAAACTCAATTTCTCATCACTAACTATATTGCTCGTCGTTCAATTTGGGTGCTACTGAAGTACAATTATATTTTAGGGTAACTTAATGATAAATTGAATAAAATTTACTTTTCTACTTCTTGAATAGATTTTGCATTATCTCGTTCAGAAATTTTTAAGTTCGGCCAGTGAACAGAATATTTAGAATATAACTGGCTGGAACGAAAACTGTAGACAATTACACGGTCATTGGGGCCGACCAACGATGAAATGAAGTTGATTAAGTGCAGTTTTTAGTACAGATAGGCGGGCCATAGCTGTACTTATCTACAAATGCTTCAATTTAAACAAGTGCAAACTGTTATCGACTATATTGGTATTCGGCAAAACCGCTTAAAGCTTCCAGGAGACACTTTCGAAGTAATTTTTTTTTATTATTCTAAAAGAACTCAAATGTACATGAAAGTCAATTTGAAAAAATTAATCTTGAAAATATGTGTTATTGTCAAGCCATACGAACGTGCAGTTTACACACATTGTCGGGCCTGATTTTGAAATTTGACAGGCAAGCAGTCACAAGGGTCCAATTCAGGGGGGGACGTTTCCCATGGCTCAACTGCTGCTATCTTCGCAACCACTAGAACCTACTACATATGTTGCTACGCGACTTCCATGAGTCAAAAATCAAGCCGGAAAATTATTGTTGTCGTCAATCAATCGTCATCTCACGTCATGGCTTACGCCCATCAGGCTCACACACAAAGAGTGGGGCTTCAAAATCTGTTTATAAATATTCAAAGCAGCATTTTCATTCCTTTGATTGCCTGAGTTAAAATATATTTGGCTCGGCAACCATTGCCTAGATAGTTCTTCATACAAGCTTTCCCATCTAGTAATTAGTAATGTCATGTCCCTCTGACTGCAGAGTAAAAAAAATTTTTCACACCGCAGATGAAAAAATGTTTTACTAATTTGGGTGTATGTTTGAGGACTTTCACTAGTGGAGGATTATAGATATGCATAATTTGACAGTTCGCTTAGCGCTTTTCCTCGTTTGACCAATGTCCGAAAGATTACGAAGTAGGTAACAGTCATGATTATTATAGGAAAAATGTAAACGCAGACATAAAAAGCAAACAATTCGTATAAGACATAACGACGTTGAGGATCTACAATTAACTCTTGAATAGTCATTCCAATTGTCCTAACCAAACCAATTATGTACGCTGAACCACAAACGATTTTTATCTTTCGTCGACTGAAGGAAGATTTCAATGGATGAACTATCGCACGATAACTTAGGACTGAAATGAATAACATCAATGAAACTCCACTTACTTTAAATAAGGTATGTATGCCAGTTATATATGAGCAGTTTAAAGAAATTGGGATGCTTTTCGTCTGAATGAAAAATATACTTAGCAGTGCCAGTGCGTCACATATTGCGAGATGCAAGACAAGAATGTAGTAGTTCTTCTTTATAAATATAGAATCTTTCGTTTTAATATCAAAGCGATCACAAGAGTATTTCCAACAATGCCAAATACACATATGCAAATACGCAAAAATACAAAAGCAGCCATAACGATTAAATTGATGTATTCTTATCAGTCTATGTTTCAATTGAAAAACTGTTTTTTCAGTTAATGGGTCAAGTTGCAATGTTTGACTAAAGTACGGTCTCCTTGTTGTTTTTGTCGCTATTAGCTATGCTTGTATGCTGTATATATATTTGTACTGTCTTTCTGCGGGTAATGTGTATTTAAATGTACCAATCAGCAACCACGAAAACTGTTATTTCATAATAATACCCATTAAAGTGCCTATATCACGAATTTTAGCCCCCCTTTTTTATGAGCTTAATTGAAAGACCTTGTTTCAGCGATTTTAAATCTGCAATTATAATTGAAATTGGATTGGTGAAAGTGATTTTACGGACGTTCAAAGTCACGATTTTCAGCATTTTTTTTGCGAACTTTTTGATCGGTATGCTAATGACTTGTGACGTAGAAAGTTGAACACATATATCAACATGGCGTATTCTACTAGTAATCTTAATAAGAAATGCGGAGGAAAACGCTGTGCTGCTGGCAGACCTAATCAAATTAGTCGCGCCAATGATTCAAAAACCGAAGGAATGTCGATGCACCTGTTTCCTAAAAAAGAAACAGAGCCGCAAAGACATAGAAAATGGGTAAATTTTGTGCGTAAACATTGACCGGGTTTTGGGGGTTCCTCTAACTCGTGTCTGTGTTCTGCGCATTTTGAAGATTCATGTTTTGACCTTAATTTGAACGTGCAAGTCAAGCTCAAAAGAAGGTTGAAGAAAGATGCTATCCCAACCATTGACGTGGCTGGGATTCCTGAACCATTACAGGACGAAATAACCGATCGAAAGCGAAGACAAGTAAGTTTACGCTTGTTTATGTTAATTTTTCATTGTCATATGTAAATTCGATATAAGTTTTGTAGATTATTCGACATAATCTCCATATGCCATCGCTGAAGGAAACATGTTCTATTGAAGTACCATCTACTAGTGATGGAGCTGAGCATGTTGAAGTATGCACTGGGGAAGCAAACGATTCGCCATTTGAAAAGAACTACATGCATTTGGCGAAGATATTTGTGAATCCCAGTCTCCATGTAAATCGTGCCATCGTCTTAAGAAAAAACTTACATCTTTACAAAAGACTTTAAGCTGGTATAAAAAGAGAAAAGCATCTTTGAAGAAAAAGGCCCAGAAGTTGAAAAATGAATATCGAAGCGAAATCAGGGAAAATCGTAATAAATCCGTGGTGACCAGAGTAGATAAGATGCAGCTTTGTCACACTTTTGTCACAGAGCTCTTACCCATGCCAGTTAGTTTCCAGTCCCCTGAAGTTGATCGGTGCGCGCGCATGTCAACCGGAAATAGGGTTTAATAAACATGGCATGGCATTGGATGGCGTGAAAATCGGAAATACGACAAAGCTGGAAGTTGCATGCTATTGACAAAGTAACATTAGATCCGTTTCCTTTTCTCAATCGAAGGTAAAAACGGTAGAAAACGAGGTAATTGCATTTTATAGCTTATACTTTATCGAAAGGTTTACATTTTATCTCTTGAAACAAATGGAATTGAATGTAGACATTGATCTGGCATTAAGAATGAACAAATTGCTTTTGGAGTCAGAAAAGAATGAAATAACTGTACGTCAAAGTTTGTTAGAAAATAAACTTTTAGACTGCTATGCAGGAGAAATTGCTGCAATGATAAACGCTGAAGTAAATAAGAACTGCAATGGATGCATGATTGACCACCTCTCTCAGCGTGAGCATGGCTGTCTCATGATGGAGCATGACGAGCGTATGTTGTTGCATTTTGATGATGCCTCGAAAAATGTGCCCGATGAGATTGTGATCAAAGATTTTATGAAAAGCATTGAAGATGTCGACCCACCCGTTAACGGACTTGAGATACTAAAATATACTTGTAACGACTGGCTTAAAATATTTCTTTCAGATAAAATGAACAAACTTAAAAAACGAGTCATTCAACATTTGTAAATCTTTATTCATGTTGTTACATTAAATCTTTGTTGCATTAAATCTGAACGTCAATCATGATGCCCTCTGTACACAGTTTTCTGAATGAATGAAATAAGAACCACCATATAAAATTGCTGCTTCCGTATGACAGTTTATATATAAACGCACCCATGAATTACAAACTTACATTACAAATTGACGGACAGCGGCATCAACACTTGCGTCCGATACACTACATGAATGAAGACTAAAAATCAATGACATGAAACGCAACCTGAGATTAAAATATCTTTAAAGGCATACAAACCCGCAAATTCTACACTTGAATTTTCCCCGTGACTGCACTAACGGGGACAAATGGACAGTATGTCCACATTTAGCCTTGATGAAAAAATCATCACAGCGATCACATTTTTCTGAAAACGAGGAGATAGATTCTGTTGAAGATAAAAACATTCTCTAATTTGAAATAAACAGAAAGAGCTCGCACTTACTAATTTCAGGGTATTCTGTCTGCTGCATCGATGCCATTCTGCAAAATTTTCTGATTTGCGTGTCTTGATTTTTTGCAGAGTTTTTATCGTCTTAACACATACAAAACACTTTTAGTATTTCAAGTGGTTGAAGTACACTGCGCATGCGCTTGAGATGTGACCTTCGCTGCCATCTTGCACGTGTAAATTTCAAGTGGTTGAAGTACACAGCGCATGCGTTTGAGATGTGACCTTCGCTGCCATCTCGCACGTGTAAGTTAAAAATTACCATTGAATAGTATGACCTTGAATAATGAAGCGTGGGTAAGATCGGTGCAGAATCCTGCTGAGGGGAATGATGCAGTAAATGATAAGGACCAACGAAAGATGCCTGACAATGTGAATAAAGGAGCGGCATGAACAAAAGTCAATATTAAAGGGAAATGAAAAGAGCCTTTAACATACCGACATGATACAGTAAATGACCCTAGGAAAGATGCCTGACAATGTGAATAAAGTATCGGTTTGAACATGAGTCAATATTGAAGGGAAATTAAAAAGAAGAATCATGTTGTGAAGATAAGCTGCGGTGTGGGAGGGTATCATACAGAGGGAAGTGATGCAGTTAATTAATGATGAGACCCTCAGGAAAGATATCAAACAATGTACCAATGTGATTGTTTGGCTGACGGACCATAATTTAAAAGTGTGCCGAGATATGCACGATATGGATATGTTCCTGTTGCTTGTGTAACTAACTTTCCTTTTAGAAACACGTCAACTTGCTTGAACAAACTGTGCAAGAAATTGTTTACAGGTCCAACTTTAGTGTCATCATCGATATCCCCACCATCGGCTTTTGTTACTTTCGCTCTAGCTACCAATATTGTCTTAGACATGTCAACATAATCTTCAGTGCCGGGCGCTAAAAATGTAATTGGTCCATTTTCAGATACGCTGGACACAGGTTGATGATCAATCCAATGCCCCTTTTCTAAACTGACTTGTGTTGGTGGGACAGAAAATAAATCAAGTTCGGTTTTTGTACATTCTGCAGATTTTGGATGAACGAAATCCATATTTAGCCGAAAATGTCCTCCGCTTCTTTAGCTGCTTTACGTCTCTTGCCTGAACTGTGAATGGCAATGGAGGTCGTCGCCTTTCTCTTTTTAGCTGGTTTTCTTGACCGTTTCTTTGAAGACTTTCCTCTTCCTGTTTGAGCAAACTGCTGCATTCTGTTTACAGCCATTTTCCCCGCATCTTTAGCAGCCTGATTTACTCTCGATTTTGCAGACTCTTTCACACTTTTCCCGGAGATAACATCGCCTAAAACGTTTGCTCCTGTGTTAAGAGCAATTTTACCCAGAGCTTTTGCACCGCTTTTTGCCAGAGGTATTACAGCTCTAGCTAAACTGCGAAATAAGCCACCAAGACCATAACCCACTTGCCCATATCCTCTTTGCCAAGGTGCTCCTTTAAACACAGGCGATGAACCGTATCCTCGTTGTTGGTTGAGATAATATTGAACATAACGATTTGTTTGAAAAAGGCTTTGTGTTGATTTTGTGCTGTGTAACGAGATGCATTTTGGAGAAACTTATTAACGTGGCTGCTTAGGCCAATTTGAATTCAAATCAAATTGGAATTGAATCAAACAAAAAGAACTAATATACAGCCATCACAGCATAGGCGTACTGGAACTATCATTTCTAAAGCGGCTGTGAATAATTTTAGCAATGTAGGATCGGCCTTATTTCCCCCACCTAACGTTTAAAATTTGCCCAATTTTTAATATTCAAACTGTCTTTAGGATGGCAGCTGCCACACTGCCCTCCTTCGCTTACGACTATGCATTAGAGTTTACACAATAAGCGTGCTCTCAAGTTTAAAATGCATTCGAAAACATTTGTAGATTTGCCAGTTATAGAATGTGTTCACCAAGGATTTAGAACCCAGTCCCGTGAATCATAGATGTGTAACTATTGAGGCGAAGCAAGTTCTTTAACAGAATCTTCTTTCAATATTGAAGCGATCACAAAAGTATTTCCAGCAATGCCAAAATGCACAACAAATGTATTTAACTGCTACAATTACAGTTTATATATATGTTGGTATATGAATGATGTAAATTGTAAGTCTTATTCCTTACAAGTATTTTCTTAAAAATTGTCCCGCAAGCAACACATGTCTACATTGCTTTTCAAAATTGTCAGTCTTGACCGTTGGTTTATAACTATAAAGTAAATTGTTTGATTCTGGGAGTATCGTTACATGTTTGTAGATGTAGATCGTCCAGGTTGGTATAGTCCTGAAAAGCACTGTTTTTGTTATTGTTGACTGACGTTTCGACAACCTTAGCGGTAGTCATCTTCAGAGTCAAATGAGGAGTAAACGTCAGGTTAGCCGTATTTGTTATCTGGTTCTTACGTTTACTCCTCATTTGACTCTGAAGGTGACTACCGCTAAGGTTGTCGAAACGTCAGTCAACAACAACAAAAACAGTCCTTCTCAGGTTTATAACTATTTCATTTAAATGCATGAAAACACATTACTTCTATAAGAATAGTTGAGTGACGACCCTGAAAACCATTTACAACACTACATCGGCATGAAAACAGCACTTTATAGTGTATTCACTATATCGGCAACCATTTACCAATAACTGTTCTTTTTTATTCTTATTCTGGACACCAAATCCTTACGATTATTTCCTCTTAATTTTTTTGCTTGCATCAAACATTCCATTTATGTCAGGACTAAAGATTCCCATGCATTTCTAAAGCACACGCGATGATTGCGTCTATTGAAAATTTATGTTTATCAAAAAATTAAAGCAAATTGCATGTTTTTTCGCTACGTATTTCATTCTAAATACGTAGGATTGTTATTAAACGTCCAATTGCTACATAGATTTCTGTCATATATTGAATAATGTCTTTACCCATGGGGCTGATTACATGAGCCGGGTAGCCTTGATTCAGTCAAGCGCTAAATGATTTTTGCAAATGGAAACGATTCAATACTCATCATCAGATAAATCTTCTCTGGCAATTTCACAATATTCTTGTTTGATAACTACACAAATCATTTAAAATTACAACAAGCAATTTGACCTAATTTGAGAATTACAACAGAAAATAACTTGTGGCGCTTAATAAACAGTTTTAACTTTTACTCTTGAAGTTTTCACTCCTTTCAATATTTCGAAATCATTTCACGCCTCACTATAGCTCGGTTAGCCGGAATCATGTAAACAGCCCTATGATGCATTTGAAAGAAAACAGATTATTTTTAAAAATGTTATCAATGTACATGATCATCTCCAACACGTTTTAAAAATTTATTGGTTGAGTATATCAAAGTTTCACGATGGTAACATGAACTTATTATATATGTTTAATGATGAATTTTATTAGACCAATTCTTAACTTTCTAAAAGCAAAAATGCTTAAAATCAGAATTGAACTGTTTTTACAATTTTCAACATTATGCACGGAGTACACTATTGCATGAATACGGCTAGATTTTGGTATCTCAAATTACTTGAATTCGTTAAACTTTATCCATTTTCTGCAGTATTATACTTTTTTTTATTTTCTTCTAACCTTTCGAGGTTGCAAAGTTGAGGTTCGAACCCCGTCTGAGTAAGGTGTTGTTAGGCTGTAGGATGACGTAAGAAACGGGAAAATAGTGCAGGTTAATAGTACGAAAGTAGAATTTCTCTTGCTGTGTTATTCGAAAATGGAACGTGACACTTGTATAATTTCAGAATTAACTCACTCTCCGATGAGGAAGAAGGAGGAGAGCGAAGAAAAATTATAGTAATCCATGCAAAAAACCACTATTAAAACTCAAATTGTTCAAAATTTTTTATGACTCACTACGATCATAGAGAGTTAATTTATTAAATTTTGAAAAGCCTTCTTACCTCCAGGCACTCGTTCCTCAGTTCGACTTTCTGTCGTCCACATCCGCCTAGTACTTCTTTTTTTAGTTTGAAGGAAAACAAACGAGTCGGTCTTGAACCCAAGAACGTGCAATCCTAATTGTACAGTTAAATATTCAACATGTTTTAACTCGAAAATTGAGAAATAAAAAGACAAGATTTAAGCCCGAATGGTGAGATCACAGCACGGCTAACTGTAACACTCCGCCACGCAGGCGAGTGACATGAAAACCCGACGACAACATGACAACTGTATGCGACAGAACAGCATTTATTGTCTTCCAAATCATACCACAGGCTCTTAATAAATAGTACCTTTCACTTTTCCTTTGTCACCCTCGTTGCAAATATGGAGAAAGAGCTTTGCTTTGCGTCGCTATCAAAAGTTAACTTTGTTAGACACTTTATGTTTTACCAACAGCAAAGACAAAGATGAATAAAGTATACATAATGTCAGGCATTGCCATGTGGTGATAACACATCTCGGGTTCTAATCTTGTCCTTTTATTTCTCATTTTTCGAGTAAAAATATGTAGAATACTGAATTTTATGTTGTATGTATTGCACCGCCTCGGGTTCAAGAGTGACTCGTTTTCTTTCTCCTCAAACTAATAAAAAAATAGGTAAATACAACAAAAAACAGATAGCTTTCGATGTTGAGCACTTGGCTTGACTGACCATCACTGACCTCCTGTGCACAAGATACTTGGTTCGTCCCTCTGCTGATACACTTAGGTGTACGAGGCGGATGTGGACGACAGAAAGTCGAATTGAGGAATGAGGGCCTGGAGGTAAGAAGGGGAATATTAGGGCATTCTGTTTGCTCCTAAGTTTCCTGACTTTTCAAAATTTAAGAAAAATAGTTCCCTGTTCACAGTGAGTCATAAAAAATTTGGTCAAAAGACTTAATTTTTTTAAGAGTGGTGTTTTGCATGGATTCTCATCTTTTTTTCTTCGCTCTCCTCCTTCTTCTTCCTCATCGGAGAGCGAGTTTTTTCTGAAATTATACTAAGTATCGCATTTCATTCTCGAAAAGTACATTAATAGAATTGTCGTTTTTCTACTGTTAACCAGCACTACTTTCCCATTTCTCAGGTCATCCTATGTATAGCCTAACAACATCTTATTCCAGCCAGGGTTTCAACCTCCACTTTGCAGCCTCGAAAGGTAGTTTCTTCTGACGAGACCAGAGAGTTAGTTGGGAATGGTTGTTTAATTTAATGTACCATTCTTACTTTGCAGTAATTAATGCAAAAAAATGACCATCAAAGGTGTCGAACCAAGAGTATTTCAGAATTTTGAGGTAAAGGGTAATACAAAAAAGCAAAAAAATAATCGTAAAATTAAGACATATAAAGATTGCAAGCATAGTATAAATAGTATACATTAATATTCGATTGGTCATATATACATCAGCATTACACATAAATTCACTAGCCCATGATAAGTTTTATCGAAAGACATAAAGACAAGTTTGTCTGTACAAATCTTTCATTATCAGCACGCTTTCATACAATCATACAATGAAAATTTCTTTCAGCTGCCTCTTTTATGTCATTTTAATTAGTCCAATTCCACTTCTTGTTGTTAAATATAAGGATAACTTATTTCTGGCTTCATGTTCATGATTCATTCTTTAAACCAACAAACTAGCTAAAAGCTTCTTTGAACTTTGTTCACATTTTGTGGTGTGTTCCTTATGATTGTATTTCATATTTTATATACCCTCCATTTCAATAACATTGTTTATCACACATAGAACATATCAGTGGCTGATCTAGGGTACCTCAAGACCCTCACGCGAGGTACATAAAATTTTCAAAGAATTACGTAATAATTGAGATCATAGGTTTTAGTCCACTTAACTGAGTTAAGTTACTATTTGCGATCAGCGTTCAGTATCTGATCGCAAAATACTCAAATCTGATTCCAGTTTTTATAGTTTACTTTTTGAAGCAAAGCGATTTTTTTGAGGTACTTGTCAGCGGCTACTGAGGTACCCAAGCTTGAATGAGCATTTTGATTGGCTAAAACTTGCAGTTACCATGGTTTCTGGGGGCTTGAGGAAATTTTGAGGTACCAAGGAAAATTTTGAGGCATAAGGAGAATATTTTGAGGCACTAGCTGTTTTTGACCTTGAACTTTGTTAGGATTAATGTCTATGATTGGTTACGATGTGCCATGTTTATTCTAACAGTGCATTTTATTGGTGCATTTTATCAACTCCCTCAAGTACAGCAAGCGTACCTCACTATTTTCGACTTTCGACTTTCGAGATACTAGTATCGTTAACATTTACCGCACGCAATTTCTTCTGAAAATGGATAGAGATTGTTTTCTAGAAGCCCAAGAGGCAATGAACAGCAACAACAAAGAAGCTCTGTTGCTTCTGTACAACGAGCTACGCGGGCAGTTGAATTCAAAGCCAAGATGTTCATCTTACTTGCTTCGATCAAAACTGGGCAATTCACTGTACCGGCATATTGTCGCTGAGACATATATTCCAAGCAGTATGAAATCGCAGGGAAAGATCTACACTGCAATCAGGTAACGATGTGCCAGACTGGAAAGTATGTCTTGCGCAACCTAGATCTAGCTTGCGCAATTTCGGGAGAAATGCGCGTCCTGACGCGCAGATTTTAAAAAATTTCTTGTTCGCCGCGCATTTGTGAAATTTGCCGCGCAGCGCGAGAAATATTGCGCAATATCAGCACATGTGCGCTGCAGCGCTGTTGTTTCCGTTGAAAAAAGTTGTTGAATGTTGAATGTCAATCTTACAAGCTGTTTTGACAGGCATGTTCCGTTAATTGGTTGGTAAGCCAATAAGCGTTTGATGACTAGAAATATGATATCTGAGCAGATTAACTACACATTCTTTGCTTTCGTTTTTCGAGCTTTCTCTTTTTAAGTGACTTCAAGGCAAACCATATCGATTCTTCGGTGTATTCTACGGTGATACGTGATATTTAATTAAACCAACTTGGGAAGTTCAAATTTGTAAGGTGAGTACACGTAATGGTTTAGTAAAATCAAAAGTACTGATACAAAATTACAAATGATAAAAATTCTGAAAGCATTAACGCTTCTAACACTAAACGCCCGGGGAAACAAGTTATTATTTAACAGTTATGTTTTTTGTGTAACCTAAAAGTAGTGGTACGAAAGGATTTCTTGTATTACAAACTACAAAGCATGTTTTAATACATTTAAGGCAAATAAAATTCACAATCCTTACATAAAACATATTGATAAATGAAGCAATTTATAATTAAAACCGGTTTGCTAACGAACTAACAGGGCTTAGCTCGCTGTTGTTTGGTGATAAAGCGAGATTTTTTGACAAACTTTTTTTATCTAATTGTTTATTTATTTTTACTAGATGGCTGAGATTCAAGCAGTTAAATCAGGTAAATTCACGCGTTACAATAGCCGAAAATTTTCCTAACAACAATATACACAATATATATCAGCCATTGGTTGATTGCAGGAGCTGATTCGGTGATTCCTCGACAATATTCACTTCTCACTAAGAGTACCAAACCAACATTTGTGTGTTGCTAAAAACTAGTGCTGCTTGCCTTTGATACCAAAAAAACGTTCATTACATTATCTTAACTTATGTTTTCATTGTTGTTGCCTAATTACTAGTTTGCGTTTCATGCAAGAAGGAATGTGGAAGCCATTTTTGCAAAGTTTGCAAAAAAACGTGCCACGCAATTCCGCCTTGCTCAACATCAGCAGGTGATGATGAAGGTTTTGGTGCCCAGGTCTTGTGTAGTGGCTGTGCAAAAACTGAGACAGCAGCAGTGGCTAAAAATAAGCAGCAAACACTGTCTAAGGAAGGTAACAGAACAATTATCTAGTGTTAGAATGTTAGTCGTGTGTAAGAGTGATCGTGTTTGCGTCACAAAGGAAAGTGGCATGACATTGTCAGTGGGGTTTATAAAAACAATAGTAAACAACCAAGATTGGCTATCGACACATTTGTAACCATAAAAATTGTGTGTTATAGAGTTTCAGTTTGCCAACATGTTTAAAAGACATAGCAAGCAGCAGAAAACAGGACCAGAAGCAAAGCGAGCAAAGAGTGGACACGAGAAAATCCAATGGGCTTTTGCTTACTTTGTTTTAGGCAAGGCAAACGCAAATTTTGGCTTGCTAGAGGGAACAAGTCCTCTGTAGCAAACCATTTAAAAACTCACAGCGACAAGGGCGAAAAGACGTTAGCAAATGACGCTATTAGAGAAGATTCCCCTCTTGCTAAATCTGCGCTACAGGCGTACAAAATGCTTAAATCGGCTAGGTAAATGAAAATCAAGTTCCCAATTCCCAAATTGAGAACTGCACTTACATTGTGTATGTTTTCTATGTTAATTGTATTTTCAGTACAAGCCAAGTGCAACAAAAGTGTGGTGGCGACGGAATGGGAGAACGGATAGAAATTATGGAAGTCGATGAAAGGTAGCTAAATTGCTCATTCCCTGCGTGAACCATAAAATAACTGAATATCACAAACTGCATACATGTTATATAATACATTTCTTTTACATATACAGTGATAGCTTTTTAAAATTATGAATATTAAATTGTTTCAGAGAGCTTGGTAAGGATACGGCTGGACATGCAACTGACGAACTTTCGTGCAAAATCGTTTCTGGTGTCAGTGAATCTGAAAGTTGGGAGGAAACCGATGAAAAGATGAGAGGTTTGTTAGTGAAATACGGCATTTTTCTTGCATTATAGTATCAGATTTTACGACATTTTGTCACGATATTTTGTGAAATTTATGCCATAGTGGTTGAAAGTGTTGACTTTTAGTTCAAGGCTTCCAATAATTCACTTGTTCGGATAAGTAATTTCTACATTACAAATTTCTTAAGTCGTTTAATATTAACGATGAAATCATTAAGTATTTCAACGTCTTCTGTTGAATTTCTTAGTACATATACTTTTCACACAGTTTGCAAGAAAATTTTAATGTTGGCTTTTAACACTTTCATTGTTACAGCGAAGAGATTGTGAGAGTTAATGCAGTAAGTAAGACGAGTAAGGCTGCCTCTATTTCAAACACCAGCCGTCTTAGCTATCAAAGCTCGCTTGGAAGTTTTCTTCCTTCAATTTTATCAAGTGAGCAAGGCGACCTGCCATTTGATGTGGACGAACTTGCGGAAAAAATTGCTACTAAGGTGGCACAAAAGTTGAGTGGTAACCCTAAATCAGCCCAATCAACAAGTTCAACAACTACATACAATCCCACATCGAGTACCGCACTTCGATCTTCCAATTTGATTGAGCTTGTGGATGAAGTGGAAGATTTTGAAATACTAAAAGAAGAGAACAGCTGGGTGCTGCAGTGTCGAACGTGTGTCGAATTTTTAAACTCTTCCCGTGTTTCCTTTTCGTCATCTTTTAATCGACCTACTGGCAAAGCAGACGGATCTTTGGCATCTGGTTTACATATGTCAGATGCCTTGTATGAACAGCTAATTGCAGGCAAGTGTGAAAAATGGTACAGCCAAAAGCAAGCGTGTCATCGACATCTTCTTTCTTTGACCCACAAAAACGCTGATGACCACATGAAGATGGTAAAGCAAGGGAGGTCAAGGGAAGTACTTGTTGCAAAGAATCAACTCCGTGCAGCTCTTGGTGTTGTGAAAACAAAGTCAGCTGCAGTTCATTATGAAGCACGAATTGCTGAGCTTCAAGCTGCTGGTGCGGATGTTGGTGATTTTTGTCATTCTCGAAAATTGTTTCCAGACATGATCAAAGCAGCATGTGCTTACATCGACATGAGAGCAGCCAATTTTCTTTCTACCCTCTTCCAAACACAGGAATGCCCCACATTTTTATGTTACAGCTGATAAATCTACCAATCATCGCATCACTAATCAGGTTACTATCGTTTGTCCAGTTGTAAATGGTAGTCGCCGAGGCATTGTCCTTGACGCAAGGGAGGTTTACAGTAACTCTGATGCAACTGGTGGTACAGGTGATGCTCTAGCTGCATCCATTTTTAAAGATCTTGACGTGCATGTTGGTATTAAGGATAATCGGCTACTGCAAGTGCAAGGGCGAGTGATGGATGGACAATACGTCAACGAGCCGTTCATTGCAGGCATGAACGAGCCTGTATTTGAACTTTGCATGATGATCTGTCCTGCAAAGAAAGATTCTGGTGGCCTGTCCAATGGGACCCTGCCCATTGGTTAGATAAAGTATTTAGTCAGCTCAAGGACTCGCCTTTCGTTGATCGTTTGCTGAGAAGGATTGCACTTTATCATCAACTTTTAGTCGTGGTAAAATGCACAGCGTAGCGCGTCATACTGCTAAGGACTTGAATCTTCCGTTTCGAGTAACCAACGCATTTGCACATCAGCGGTTTTTGAGCTCCAGCTATCTATCTTTAAAGAATCTTGCAGATAGTTTGGAAGTGTACATCGAGACTTTCAAGGACCACGACAATAGAGAAGAAATGGGTTACAAGTTATGTGGTCAAGACTTTGTCCATGATTTGCTTGGTGTACTCGATTTGTTGTGGCCCTTGGTCGTCCTGATGCTGCAAGCGCAGGCTGAGTGGTATCCTGGTTGGAAGTTGTTCTCTCAAGTTCCTTTGGTAAAACGACAGATGCAACGTTACATCAAAGTATCTAAAATTGATCCTGATGACTTTGTTTGCCCAAGATTAAGCCAGCGAGTTCATGAAATTCGAGATTACCACTTTGGGCAAAGTGAGTTGGAAACTGGTTGGTTTGTCGTTAGAGAAGGCGACGGTAAAGTGCCAGTGGATTGGGTAGCAAGAGAAATGCAGGACAGTGTTCATGATCTAGAGAAGCTGGCTGCGGATGTCATTAGTCAGATTGATGTTCGCTACACCAATAGCTTTTCCGACCTCAACAGAATGCTATCAAAGTGTTTTGACTTTGGACGACTTTTCGTGGTTTATGCGGTTTTCGTTCGGAAGAAAAAAGTCCAGTAAACAACAGGGAGTTTTCTGAACTTGGAGCTAATGAGTTTAGACGATGTGTAAACTTTTCCTCACAGATGCCACATGTTTCTGAAAAGAATTTTGAGCTTTGTAGCGAGCTATCATCCACAGTGTTTTGGCGTCTAAAGAAAACACTCATTGCCGTTGTTTGGGGTGATATGCTACACACTCACTTCCTAATTTTTCAAGAAGATCTCTCTCGATGACGAAGGAATTTTTCCTTGCAGGATGTGGTTTTCGAGGAAGGAGTCTTTGTGACTAGGTTCCAAGAAGGTACACCAAGGCAGTTCACCCTTTCTGAGGTCTTCGAAGTGACGCTCAACAATGGTAAAATGATTGACGTTCTTTTTAAAGAAGAGGCCGTTATTGAATCTTTATATAACGATTCCTCATTTTATTCAGCTGTCGGCCAAGAGTTTTGTCTCGTCTTTGACATATTTTATGCGAAATGCGGAACTGAGGCTGTTGCCGAATCTTTTTACCGGGTGGTGGATAAGCAAGAAATGGATGGTGGGCAAAGCATAAAAGTGCTAATGAATCGTGCTAAAGTTGATTGGAGTTTACCATCTGTACTTCAATGCGACGCAGCACTGAACGAAATGGCAAAACTTTACATCAATGGGGACAAGGAACGTGGTTTGTCCAGACATATGATTCCTGTTTTTAGAGACCGACGAGCATGGCAAAAACACGAAGGAGAGATGTCCAAGGTTTTGCAACGCATCATAACATCACGCCCTAAGCTACCTTTCCTCTTGTAACCTTAGTCAAGCGTCAACCAGTATGCTTCGTGCAGTTATAATCAAAAAGTTTTCAATCCAAATCTGGCAGCAGATCGTAATTGTTTATCAATTGAAAAAGCTCCCTTGCTTACCATCTGCCTGCTGATTATAAACAGTTATTAACTGAAAAACCTTCTACTCCACAATCTGGCTGCTGATTATAAACAATTATTAACTGAAAACCTTTTTTGTCCACCATCTGGCTGCTGATTATAAACAATTATTAACTGAAAACCTTCTACTCCACAATCTGGCTGCTGATTATAAACAATTATTAACTGAAAACCTTTTTGTCCACCATCTGCCTGCTGATTATAAACAATTATTAACTGAAAAACCTTCTACTCCACAATCTGGCTGCTGATTATAAACAATTATTAACTGAAAACCTTTTTTGTCCACCATCTGCCTGCTGATTATAAACAATTATTAACTGAAAACCTTCTACTCTACCATCTGGCTGCTGATTATAAGCAATTAGTAACTGAAAAACCTTTTTTGTCCACCATCTGCCTGCTGATTATAAACAGTTATTAACTGAAAAACCTTCTACTCCACAATCTGGCTGCTGATTATAAACAATTATTAACTGAAAACCTTTTTGTCCACCATCTGCCTGCTGATAATAAACAATTATTAACTGAAAACCTTCTACTCCACAATCTGGCTGCTGATTATAAACAATTATTAACTGAAAACCTTTTTGTCCACCATCTGCCTGCTGATTATAAACAATTATTAACTGAAAAACCTTCTACTCCACAATCTGGCTGCTGATTATACAAAAGATGGTTCCTGATTGATTTGTTTTTTTTTGACGACGTATTTGACGACGTCAGTAAATCAAATTTATTTGGTGCCTACCTTTTATCGTATCATACGCTGTGATGAAACGATGAAACAGATGAATGATAAACATACGTGGTACGTTGGTCGTTCGACTCGTTACATAATACCTAAGGTAAAGTGGCATTTTTTTGTGATTACACATGACACATCCTCACGTTGTAAAAGGAGAGTTGCAAGCTCCAACTTAAGGTAAGCTACAGCTATACACATGTATCATCTTTTATGTTATGTTTCATAATTATTTGCAATTGCAAACTATCAAAAATGGAGTGTGATACGGAAAAAATAAAACTGGCATCTCGCAAATATTTTATGGCTTCGCAGCGCAAAGTCGAAAATACGCCGCGCAAAATTTCTAAAAAAAATTGATCTAGCTTGCGCAGTTTGCATACTTTCCAGTCTGGACGATGTGTTGATATGGCTGTTCAATTTAGCTTTTATTCTACTTCTGTCCGATTACGATGCTTTATCTGAATTTTTAATAAGCTTGTCAATATCTGATGTTTTGTAATTCTTATATTTTGCATTACTTGCCAGTGCAGAAATCCTTCGTTTACCAATTGAAGTTTGCATTTTATTCGAATAATTAAATAAGCGAATAATAACTTATAAATTTAACTGAAATACTGGTATACTATTTATGTAAGGAAATTAAGAATCTGAATGAATAACTTTATATGGCAATGTTACATGTGCTTAGCTGTTTTTAAATACGTAATATAACATTATTGGATGTTTAATATTTAAAGTTACGCTGTTTAGTACAACACAAAAGAAATTTAAACTAAAGAGGGATTATTTTGAACCTTGTAGATCTCAAGCATCAGGGAATTGTCTTTACAGCTCAGTATCTTTGCTGCTTGTAGGAGACAACAGCTTAGTAAGTATTTTAAGAATACTGACTTCCTTGAGCTATACCTTCATTGTGATTTTTACAATAAACATCCTGCATTTTCTTTGGCAGTGACTGAGCACCATGACCTTAGTCTTGTTAATCTTTTGCCATTATCAGTATCGGCCTCATGTTTAGATTCCGGCTTAAAGAATGAGGATTTAATTAAGCAAGAAGCTATTTTAAATTGTTATGATGGTACCTGGTCACCTTTCTTGTGTATTCTGGGCTTATCATCAGTTATTGGTAATGAAATATTTACTTATTATCCAGATTGTGGGGACATAAGACCAAAATTACTTTTTAATAGACATGTAAACCCTCGCTTGGCAAATGAAGCAATTGTGAAGGATGTTGCTGTTCACATATTATTCTGCTATGAAGGCAAGTTTAAGTCTGGCGAGAGCTTTTTGCCAAACCATTATGTTCCTCTTCTTTGCTCAACAAAAAATGAAAAACATAAAGTGTGTAACAAAAAGCGCAAGCATCCTGACAACTCTTCTCTACAAGAACACCAAGATATTAACCGATTCTTCCAGCTGTCTTGCATTGATAAACCTTCTAACAGTAATTTTAAAACTGATAAGTCTAGCCTTAGCACCTTATGTATTGACAAGTCTTCTTCTCTTGATTCAACTTGCTACAAAAAACCCCCTTCTGATAAAATAGTGTCATTTAGTGAGGCTTCTTCTCTTGTTGACTGTCATATTCCCCTTAATTTTGATGTTGCAACTTTCAGAGAAAAAAGAAAAGGCATGAGCGATGGGGAAATTTACAATCTCATAGTAAATGTTTATAGACCAGATGAAAATTTTGAATTCCCAAAAACGAATGGAAGATCTTTTCGTTATGATTGGTTAGAAAGGTATGAATGGTTATGTTATTCTCCATCCTTGGATGGGGTTTTTTGCCATGTGTCCTTTTGGTGATAATTTTAAAGATAAGGCCTCAAAAATTTCCAACCTATTCTCTCAGCCACTTCGTCGTTGGACAGATGCATCCAAAATGCTAAAACGTCATGATGGCAAAGAGAGTGATGGCAAAATGAGTTTTCATGGTTTGAATGGTTTGCATGCTTCTACTTTTCCAGTTTATTCTGCCTTCAAATCTAACATGTCTGGTAAAACAAAAGGCATTAATGTTATTATTGATTCTAAGGTTAAGAAAGAAGTTGAAGGTAACCGGGCTAAATTAAGTTCAATTACCGATACGGTCTTAACATGTGGTCGTTTGGGCTTAGCCTTTAGAGGTCATCGTGATGATGGGCACTATCATCCTGAAACTGGTAATTTTTCTGCAGGTGGTGTTGGGAATTTTGTTGAACTTCTTAATTTTAGAGTGCGTGCTGGGGACAAGGTGTTAGAGGACCATCTGAATTCATGTGGTAGGAATCAGACGTATATTTCTAAAACTTCCCAGAACAAGCTTATTAAATGCTGTGGTGAAGTAATAACAGATAAAATCATTTCTGACTTAAAAGCAAGCAGGTTCTACTCTGTAATTGCTGATGAGGCTCGAGACATCTCAAATACTGAACAGATGTCTCTTGTTTTGCGTTTTATCGACCAAAATATGGATATTAGGGAGGAGTTTGTTGGATTTCTTCCTTGTAAATGGGGCTTAAAAGGTGAGCAGCTTGCTAAGGTTGTTCTTGATGCTTTAGGCAACCTTGGTCTTTCTATTGCTGATTGTAGAGGACAGAGATATGATGGGGCAGGTGCTGTTGCTGGTCATATGCATCGTTTGAATGATAAGGCTCTTTTTACCCATTGCTACAGCCACAGATTAAATTTAGCGATTTGTGAGTCTATTAATATAATGGATGTAAAATCGATGCTCAATAGAGTTAAAAAAGTTTCTGATTTTTTTAATATTTCCCCTACACGACAAATACCTTTAGAAAAGAATATTGACCTTCATGGTTCTTTATCAGCCGGTAGGAAAAAGAAATTAATAGATGTGTGTCGAACTAGGTGGGTTGAGAGAATCGACGGCTTAGATACTTTCCAGCAGCTTCTTATTCCTGTTTTTAAAACGTTGAGAGAAATGAAGAAAAATGTAGATAAAGATCACAGTCTCAATGTTTCTTCTGATGCCTCTGAACTTCTTGATCTTTGGAAAAGTTTGATTTTGTTGTTGCCCTGGTTATTTGTAGAAATGTGTTTGATTCTACAATTGGTGTTACTCAGCTTCTTCAAGGGAAGAGTATTGACATTATGGATGGTTTACATCTTATTACATCGTTGAAAACTTTTGTTGTTAATGTTAGGAATTCCATTGATAAGTATCACGATACATGGTATGAAGAGTCTCGCACTGGCTCGAGAATTAGATATTGATGAAGCAAAGCCAAGGACAGTGGGAAGACAGACAACACGAGCTAATGTCCCCTATAAAACTACATCTGAGTACTATAAAAGAATTTTTTCTATTCCACTTGTTGACCACCTAAACTCTGCGTTGAAAGCTCGTTTCAATACTGATAGCGTTAATGTGTACAATGGGCTTAGCATTGTACCATATAAAATGATTTCTCTTCTTAACAATGGCATGAATTGGAAAGAAAAATTCAAAGTTGTTTCCAATTTTTATCACGATGACCTACCTAATCCATTGGCTTTGGACTCAGAGATTTTGCTTTGGAAAACTTATTGGGTTGATTACGAAGGAACCATTCCAGACTCAGTTTCAGCAACTTTAAAAGCTTTAAAATTTGAAGGCTTTGAAAACATCAAAATTATTCTTCGTATTCTTGGAACCCTTACTATCACATCTTGCAAATGCGAACGCTCTTTCTCAGTTTTGCGCGAACTGAAAAATTATAAGCGAAGTACGATGGTTTCAGAGCGTCTAAACGGTTTGGCCATGATGAGAGTTCATCAAGAAATTGTGCCCGAAACGTAAGAAGTTATCGACAGATTTGCTATGGATAACACAAGATTAAAGTTCGTATAGTCATTATTAACAACAATCAAACATCAAACATGAAAACAAGAAACTTAAAATAATAGCATTATTAAGGCAAAGTTTCACAACCATTTAACTAAATGGCAGTCAAGTTGACTGTCCATGTCTGGCTGCTTTTTAGAAGCATGCCTAGGCATGCTGATGAGCTCTGATATTGAGCAAAACAGTCAGAATTATTGATTGTATTAAGTGCTTCTTTAATCCGAAATCCTTGTTTTGCCACTGCTTCTTTTAAGCGCCGCCCCCTGTTACCGCGCTGCTCTTACGATCAAAAAAAGTTACAGCGCTGCGGCGCTAAAACGAGCACTCATAGTAATGCTACTTTGAGGGAGGTAAACGATTGGCCTGTATCCGCCACTGGAACATATCAACCATAAGTTTATACATTTTCATCATGACAGTATATTTGACGACCAAGCCAAATTCATCTTTGAATACTGTGAATAGAAATAAGCTGTCATAAGGAAGGATTGTATTTACTCGTGAAGGCGTTCCACAATGTCTTGTCTTTTGGGTTACACTTGCATTCAATGTGATGCTTATATCTAAATATCATAGCCATTAAATAATAAGATATTAGGTACAATTTGTCCACTGTTAAAGGATATTTCATGTTGTAATTCTGCTTCGAAATTTCATAAGTTGTGTGCAATCTTCGTTACGAATCATTTCCAGTCATTCGTTACTTGTTCTTCAACACCAAATCTCCCTGGAAAAGGTTTTTCATCTAAACTTCTTTCTGCAAGTGTTTCCTTTGTTTCTACCTTCATGTCTACAATTATGTCTATCTTTTAACTACTTTTGTGTCTATACTTATGTCTAGCTTTTTTTGTACCTTTTTGCATACCTTTATGTCTATCTCTGTCTACTTTTGTGTCTACCTTAATGTCCATCTTTATGTCTAACTTTTTGTTCACCTTTGGGTCTACCTTTATGTCCACCTTTATGTCTATCTTTATGTCTACCTTAATGTCTACTTTTGTGTCTACTTTAATGTCTACCTTCGTGTTTACCTTAATGTCCATCTTTATGTCTACCTTTATGTCTAAATTTGTGTCTATCTTTGTGTCTATCTTTATGTCTACCTTTTTGTCTACCTTTATGTCTACCTTTTTGTCTACCTTTTTGTCTACCTTTTTGTCTACCTTTATGTCTACCTTTATGTCTATCTTTATGTTTACATTCAAGTCTACCTTTGTGATTACCCATTGACACGGCCCAATTGCTGGCAACAAATTTTCCTATCTACAATTAACTACAAACAATTTACTAAAGGAAAATTAGAAGGAAGGAGATACAGTTTCTTTATTCGACAAACGAATTAAATTTTTCATTCATTTTAATGAAAGCTTGTTAACTATACGAAATTTCTCCAAAAAAATTTTGAATTGTTTGGTAATAATGAACGGCAAGCCATTCCAAGGTATTCTTTTGTTAGTGTAGATAGAGTCTCTTGGTTGTGTAGAAAGTTTTAACTTATGAGCAATAGAGGCTTGAAAGAAGTAGATGGCCCTTGTATGAATAATTATGTAAGAGTAGTTTTAACCTAAAGGTGATCTACGGATGAGTTGTTGGCGGTCAATATTCCAAACTAATATCACCCACATGTAATGGTATTTTCTTTCACTGATGGAAAGTTTTCCAAAGTACAATCACATGATAACAAAGCTCTGATAAATTAAGAATCACTAATGCGAATATATTACTTACGTATGAACATCTTGATCTCTACAAACAATTTCATGTGTGTATATCTCCGTAAAGATTCTGCTGTTGAGTTTCACGTTTGCACAATTGTTATTTATGCTAGATTTTTTGTTTGAGTTCAACTTTATTTTCGCAATGGCAAAATGTTCTTGTAACTTTCTGGTTTAGAAGCCATTTCGCCACCATTGGTAATCAATAACAAGCTAATCGCTTTTTTGACATTTCAATACCGGACACAAAGTGTGAGGCACTATGAATTTAGTCTAAGCGTCCCTAATGAATATATTGATGAGGGACATTTAGAAGTAATTATCCCTATCTCTATAATTGAGGTAAATACCTCAGTAAACGTCACTGTGATAACAAAATATCCCAATGCAGCATGTTATTATTATATCTTTCAAGCATATTAGTGATTAAATGTCCCGCAAACATCTCGAGGCTTAAGGGAACATTTAAATATCCCTTAAAACATAAGTTTACTAAGTAATAACATGGTTGCGGAGGGAATAAACAATGCATGACACTTTTCCATTTGACAATAATTCTATACAATTTTGAGTTCACTTTTTTGAATATTTATAAGCATCGATGATGTTTAAAGCCCACATTTTTCACGATCAGTGATGGAATAAAGAAATTCATCTAGATATTTAAATGTGATTTCCGTTTTTGAATTAGTTCAGTGAACCTGTGTACGAATTTGCTTCGAAAATACATTTTTTCTTTTCATTATTGTCGAAGTTATTGCTGGTTCATCACTGGTTTTCCCTAGTTAACGACAAGAAACTTTCTGACGCGAGGTTAAGACGATTTCTGTTACCACTCAACGACATAAATTGAAAGCAATATAGGCGTATTGCTTTATTGATGAGGCTCACTGTGATAACATAAGATCCCTAGGCAACCATGTTATTACTATAATAACACCACTGGTACATAGGCTCAGATAAACCTTATAGTGGTAGTGAGAAAGATCTGTTTTATTTGCTAGTGACTGACAATACTTTATGCACTTGTTGACGTAACATAGACTTAGACATTGAAATCGCCACGATACGTCAAATTTAAAACACTCCAAATACACTCGCTCATGTTTCACTATCCTAGACACCACCAACACTCAATTTCTCTAAAACTTATTGAAGCCTTACACATTTGCAAACAAAAACCGATCTTAACAAACAATTAAACATTTTAACACCATTTTTCTAATTGTAAATATTCTAACTTGTCTCTATCACACTCATATCTACCTTTTTTTCTACCATTACGTCAAACTTTATGTTTATCTTTTTTTAATGACATTATGGTTAACCTTTTATATTTCATACAAGATATTTCAACAGTGGTCATTTTATCGGAGACAAGCATTGTTATCAAAAATGGAAAAGGACACAAATTTATTTTAATTTGCTTTTTTCTGAATGCGAAGCCATTTTAGGTTCTATTCATTAATAATTTACTTTTATCTTTCTGTCTTTACATTTCTCTCTCGAATCTTTAAAAGAACATGTGATCAACACTTTTCCAACATTCCACAGGAGAAAAGATTGAAAATAATATTATTATAATGAAAAACTTTATTAATTTCTAGAAAATAATGACGAGTGTCATTACTTATTTTGGTTCTAGGTGCAATGTATATATTGCTTAAGTTATTTTAACAACTTTGAGTTATTTTGCTAGTTTCCGTGTTGTGTTATTCAAAGCAATTAAATTTTTGTAAGAGCGCTTCAGACGTCTTCCTTTTCTTAATTCTATTATTAAATTTGTAAAAGGTATAATCCTGTTTAAGACATTAAAATTTTTAACATCTCCACTACTAGATTAGAACAGGAAACATGCAAGGATTAAAAGTGTTTTGTTATCTGCATTTGCTTAAATCTTCTTGTACAGCACTTCCAAAAGACAAAGCACTTGTCTGTCAAATATTCCAGATTAATGGATTGACAGCGTGTGACCCCAGAGCATTGAAGCACAGTTGCTATGGAAATGACAACTGGAAAAGAAAATTGAATTTATCACAAACGTCTGAATAATCCATTGCCGGGGAGAGCTTCTTTTATTTATGAAAGGTTTTAAATTTTAAATCTAACATTATACCATCTTTGTAGTTGTCCATTTCTTCTCTGTTCTCAAATGAAAGAACGCAACTTGCAACTCTTCTGGGACAAAATGGCAAAAGTTATTAGTTGAAACTGCGCAGATGACCAAAGGAATGTATCAACGACAATGTATATTCAATGCATCTGTTGTGTATTCAATGTATTCACAATGTATATATGTGAGTTGAAAGAGACCAATGAGAACATGTTGTAAAATACTTAACCTTTTCAACAATTTCTTTTTCAGTGAATAAAAAAAACAATATAGCTAGCGTAGCATTAGAGTTTGTGTGAATAGGCACGTTTTCTTTGACAAAACACACATAAAATTATCTAAGTTGGTCAATTTATTTGACACAAAACCATATTAAAAGTCTTTTGAAATAAATTATTTCACTAAATTGAGAACATTTCAGAAATTAGAAAGTTATCATCAATCTCGTTGATTAAAAGTTTGCTGATAGCAAAGGTACTAGAAATTTTTGCAACAATTAAAGCAAAAAACATGGTATCATTTCAAAACAACATACAAGTATGGTAATTTCTAGATTTTCCCTTTTTTTTTAACTAATTTGAATCTTTATAAGATCTTAAGATTCAGTTGTTTGTGTGGAATATTCTAAATATGAGGAATTAATGCTTGTACGGCCGAAATTGTAAAGCAAAATAGTTTATATTAGATGCCTATAAGCTTTCATTATGTTTTTTTAGTCAGTGTAAATGTTTTCAGCCTCATCAGCTATATATATTATGAACTTTTACAACAATACAAACTATTTTGTGTGCTTAAGTAAAACTACATCAAAGATTACAATTTTAGAGACAACATACTTAATGAATAAGGCTTATTTTACATATTTACATATATGACAATTCAGGGCGGATCTAGAGTATGTCAAACCGTCGCGCGACTGATGTTTTAAATTCAAAAATTACCTATTCATATTAATTAAAAATTCATTAATTATTCTTACTTTATTATCGCATTTACTTCGTGATAAAATCCAGCTTTATTTATTATTGAAAACCAATGACTAATGCAATGAATATCTCCTTGGTAACCAGATCAGTTGAATTTAATTGACCTGGAATAACCGACTGATAAGCGGGTGGCTTGACTGG